GGACTAGGTGCGTTCCAATAAGTCTTCCTACCAATATGACAATGTTGCGAAAACAAGGTCAAACAACCTCAGTACTACTAAGATTCCAATCTCCAGTCAAGTTAAGATTGACTAAACGTGAACACGTCTCCAAAAATCTCCAATGCAATATGGTCTCAATCCTGAAATGCCATCAAATATATTAACATTTCCTCAATATTGATATCGCTCAAAATTACCCAGTATCTTCATAAGATTCCTGAAACCCCACTCACTCCTCAGCCTACTTCTCCACATCATCGTTGTCAAAATCACAATTATTGTCATCTTCATACTTGCTATCAAAATCGTAATCACCACCCCCCTTCTGATCCTCATCCTCATCACCACCACCACGAACATCCTCATCGTCGTCATGACGACATCCATTGCAAATCTCATCCTTGTAATAAAAATTTCCATCCCCACTCTCCTTCGCCTTATCCTCATCATCATCATCATCATAATGACAATCATTGTAAATCTCATTCTATTAGACATAAAGAAAACACTGCAAAAATGCAATCATTAATTAGAATTATGAACAGACAAGTGCAAATCTTAAGCTCCAAAGAATAGCGAATAAGTTGCATAACAAAGTTTTTCGACATGTTAGGAAGAATCATGATAAGAGATTAATAAATTTGGGTAAAAGAATTAGCTCAGAGAAACAATAAATTTCTAATGAAGAGTAAGGAAGGGAAAGCCGATGCCAAAAAGTGGTAAATCTGTTGAGCTTACTTCTATTTCGAGTAAACGTGTTGGGTGAAGAGATTTAAAGGTCGATTCCACCAGAATACGACGGATTCCTCTTGACCAGCTGTCGATTGGCTTTACTGGAGCAATCATGCTCCTTCGATTCCGGTGAAAAGTTGAAATCTTTTATCCGTGATATGACGAACATCATCAGAGTAAGGTATCATCGTCACAACCAAATTCAAGCTACCAAGTCAAGAAAACTTACCGGCAAATCAATTAAAAGCGGTATATATTCTTGATTCGTTAGCTTGAATTTGGTTGTGACAATGATACCCTACTCGGATGATGTTCGTCATATGACGGATGAAAGCTTAGCACCTTTACACCGGAATCGAAAGATATTTCCCTGGAAACAGCGTCAGCGTGAATGTTCCCGTAAAGCCAATCGACAGATGGTCAAGAGTAATCCGCCGTCGTCTTCTGGTGGAACCGACCTTCGAATCTCTTCACCCAACAGTTCCACTCGAAATCGAAGTAAGCTCAACAATTATGAAACAAGAGATTCCTCGAAACCCAACTTTTCTTCGCATATGGTGGTAAATCTGTCCAAAACCCATTTGGATATTTCTACTGAGCAGGTCCTAGCAAAGGGAGTGAACTTTGTACTTTCAAATTGTAAGGACTTCAAGGAAGGAATCTTGGTAGAATTCATAAGTTGAACATGTAATTTCCCAGAGGATACCAAGAGGAACATTAAATTACAAAATGTCCTTTTTATTGATGGCCATATATGAATAGGACAGTTAATGCCATACTAAGGAAACTAAGGACGAATGAGCAATTAGTATTGAGGACAGAAAAAGGAGCAGTAGTAGTAACTATCATGGTTAGGATTGACTGTGTAAAGAAAATATTACAGGTATTAGACAATAGAGCCATATATAAAACTAAAGTTATGGACAGGTTTTTGTACAACAATGTTAACAGTGGATAACTATAAAAGTGGAAAATAAACGCTCTTCTTCAGCGAGTTGCTAAACCCTCAAACGCGTGTGGTCTGCCCATAATTGATAAGGAAGTTTCCTTCGTATGAAAGTGCCAGAAGAAGAGATTCGTAGGTCTATCTCACCAGAAGAGGACAGATGAATCCCGTTGTACTGCAGCCGTTTGGCTATTATACGACGTTCAGGTTGACGCATTTCACGAAATCTCCCTCCTCGTTTCGGGTGAAAACGGGCTGAGCTTTCGTCCATCAGATGATGGACATCATCAGAGCTGGGTCTCATTCCTATAAAAGCCTCACGTTAACACTTAAGCAAGAAGAATATCTGGTCCTATCTTACCTTGTCCTAACCTCTCAGTGACTTCGTAACTTTACTTACATGCTTACAATCTCATATCTCATTATCTCAACTATACTTGATTACGGATTTACGCAGTCTCGGTCAAGGCTTTTTCTTGGGTCAGAGCCGAACACGCATACACTCGAGCAAAAGCAGCAAGACCAGTATGAAGAATAATCAGCCAAACCTAGGTTTTTAATTTTCTTTTGCTTAATTGAGTCTATATGAAAGGTAACATAAAGCCGGATAGTCTTATTGCCCTAGTATTAACGTGAGACTTTTAAAGAAATGAGACCCAGCTCTGATGATTTCCATCATATGATGGACGAAAGCTTATCACATTTTCACCGAAACGAGGGATATCTCGTGGACTGAGCCAACCTGAACGTCGTATAACAGCCAAACGGGATTCATCCGTCCTCTTCTGGTGAGATCGACCAATGAATTTCTTCTTCCAGCACTTTCATGCGAAATGAAAGTCACCCCAACAAATTTGCAAAGTTAATCAAAGATATGAAGGCCCAGATGGTGTGGTCTCCGGTATGGTCGCAGTCTCCTTTCAATTTATAGAAGTGGATTGACCTCATTGCCGCAACTTGGTCTTGTTGTCAGGGCGACTAAGTAGAACGCACCTTCTCCGAAATCCTCTGTCATAGTAGTTATCATAATTCCCAACATCAGACTGTGGGCTTGGTAAATTGTCAGATTAAATTTGCCAAAAATGGGCACACATTTTGACGAGTGGAATGTAAACAAGTCAGAGGTTGTGATAGGGAGGGAGTTGGATTAGAGGACAGGACAGAAAGAGTAGTGATAGTGTAACCGTTTTGAGCAGAACGTTGGTCAAAGGATTGACTTCACTTGTCTCTGACGAGTTCGTAGCTTGGTGTGGAGAATGGCAGCACTCACTGATGATGCCGACTACAATGCCGGCAAAACGTCTGAGAATGTACCAAGCCCGCGGTTTGATGCTGGGAAGTATGATAACTACTATGGCAGAGGAGTTAGGGCAAGCTGCGTTCTACTAAGTCGCCCTGACAACAACTGATATCTTCTACTCGGTTCCAGATTTTGCCATATCAGCTTGCGAAAAGTTGGGTGATACACTGAGGAAATGAAACATCCAAACAATGTACAAAAAGCAATTAATGCTTTCTTCAGTCGTACTTTCTCTTCGAGAATTTTCGGACCCTCTTTCTAGATCAGAATGCTAAGATGTTTTGTGCTTATGTTGTACCTGCCGACCCATCCAGATGAGACTGTGCGAAAACAAAACCACTTGTAAATGTCTATAAGCGCAAAAAGCTGAGCTCATTGAACACATGGCACTAAAGAGGACCTTCAAAGTTCTACTATTTACAGGGACTTCACATCAACAGGTAGGATTAGGGAGTGTAAAGAAATAAGGAAAGCAACCAACGTGCTGAATAGGAGGAACGAGTATAGGAAACGGAGTAGCGACTATTTGTAGTTGTTGGATATACTTAAGGCGAGGGAGAGAAACGGAGAGAAGGAAGATCCACCGAGAAGACGGAGGCTGAATAAGCTCCGAATCTAGCCATGAGTCAACATTAGAGGATCGTATGCTAGTTCACCGGCAAGAAGATAAGTAAAAA